TTCTTTTTCTTTCTCTTCACTTCGTCTCTCTTTATTCTTGAGCAGAAGGTCCGTCTCTCTCTCACCACTACCGAACCCACCGCCACAACCACCGTCGATCTCGCCGTAAAGCCTGGTCACTGGCGTCGCTCAGATCTGTGCCAGACAATGGAGGTGTATTCAGATTTGTACTCAGATCTGTTATCTCTCTCTCTCTCTCTCTATCTCTCTCTCTGTGATCTGATGATGATTGTTAGATCTGTATTGTTCAGATGATTTTTTTTTAATCTATGTTAATTATATATTCATATGTTATATATTGAACAAAATTGATCTGTTAGATCTGTTATACATTGATCTGTATTATTCAGATTAATTTTTTTTAATCTGTGTTAATTATATTTAATGTCTTAACTATATCTGTTATGTATTGAACAAAATCGATTTGTTGATTTGTGATATATATTGATTAATCACTGATATATATTGATTAATCAGTGATTTGTTGAACAAAATTCAAAAAAAAAAAAAACTCGGGGATTTTTCGGGGTCGGGGAAACCCGATCCCCGTTAGGAGACGGGGACGAGAGGGTGATGGGTCCCCCCGACGGGGATTAGGGGCGAGGGCGGGAATTTTTTAATCTTTGAGAATCGAGGACGGGGAGTGTAGTCCCCAGCCCAGCTCGGCCCGTTGTCATTCCTAACTGTTAGGCAAGATAAATATTTGAAAAAAATATAATATTATTGTGGGTTTTTTAAATTTTGTGACAAAATTGTTCAGACCAAGCAAGTTGTGTGTTTTATATAATAATATAGATGTATTTACATGAGACAGCATATGAGATTGTTCAAGCGCGCTACATTCAAGTTCACATAGGAAAATTATTCATTGTGAGCGAAAACATAGAAAATATAGGGATCTTTTGGGAAGTTGTCAAAAAAGTCAATTTTTTGGCTTTTTAATTTTTTTAGCAAAAAAAAATAACTTTTTTACCTAACATAACCCAATTTTTTATTAAAAAAATTACCAAAAAAATTAAAAAATTAAAAAATTAATTTTTTATCAACTTCTTAAAACACCACATAAGGCAAAAACTAAACAACAATGCTTCCAACCTCCAGTAGCACCCCAATGACAGTGTGAACCTCTCATTAACTAAAAAAAAAAAAAAATTAGATCTGATTCCCAACACCCTACTGGGTTCGAAGCATTTTCCAAAACTAAATTCCGTGGTCAGCCTAGGTGAGATGCACTAATGATTATGAAAATTAGTCTATTTGCAGAGTTTTCAATAGCATAAAGAAAATGCATAAAGTACCACTGCAACTGTTTTCTGGGATGTTCTGTAGAGTTGCCACGCAGCCATCTTTGATCCTGTGTTAGACGCACATGACTCGGCCAGCTTTTCTCGCCAACAGAATCAGCCGACCTGCGATTAGACAACGTCAACGCTCTTTATTCCATTCTTCCCACATTGCAATCTGTCATTTTGAACAAAAGTCAACACGACTAAATAAATTTTTTTGTCATTCATCAACACCCCATGTCTCCACTTCTATCAACAAAATTTTGAAAAATGTCGTATGACAATTTTTTGTACGATTGTCTATATGAAATTTTATGATTTATTTTTTTATTTAAAAATAATTATTCAATTATTATTAAAAATAAATAATAACGTATTAAATATTCTAATAATCTAAAATAGTAGTAAATGATTGTTTTGAAAAGATGATCAAGAATTAGTTTTTTTTTTTTACTTTTATTAGTTTTTTTTTTTAAAAAAACATGTAAAAAATATAAAAGATAATATAACCCAAAATATATTAAAAGTTAAAAGATAATTTTTACCCATCTTCCTAAAATAGCTCAAAATAAAAAAAGACAAGTGGTATATATAGTAGTCCTCTCAAATTGTTATGGAAAATTAAAGTCATTCAGATAGAGTGGAGGCCAATATACAATTTGGTCATCAAGTTGTATCATATTATAAAAAAAAAATTATGTACTTTATTTTAATATATCTATATATATGTATTTTAAAAAAGAAAATGGCTTCCTCAACATTATGTACTTAATTTAATATACATATATGACTTTCCTCTAGTTTGTAAATATACTACACTTATTCAATCTTGTCTTTTGGGCTCATTATAGGTCTATTATGATTATTTGGCTAGTTCATTTTCTAGATTTTTTTGTGTACAGTATCCTAATTTTATATTATTTTTTTATTGATTCAATTATTATAACCATATTGTTTCATTATATTGATTTTAACATAAATGAATGGTGTATACTCAAATCTATACTGCTTGTCATTTTTTTCAAAATAAATATGATAAAGTCATATGATTATAATCATTAGACGAATTTATTTATTTTTTAAAAAATAATCTACATATAAGAGTGGCAAGAAAGTAAATGGTGCGAATAATCAAAATGAGATTATGTTCACCCAAAATATTTGAATGAATAGATCAATCTATTTTAACTATGGGAGACAAACTCTTCTCCCTTAGTTGTTAAAATTTAAATATATAATATAAATTTAAATTGAGTGCGATGTGATCAGCTCTGTGTGTGGCAAATACTTTTTCTTATTGTCAATTTATATAATAGTTTAATTGTGCACTTAATTTTCAGAATGATAATCACTTGATTGAGTCATGGGCAAGAAGTTACATAGTGATTTCCTTCTTCGGATTTTTGATGAACTGGTCTGCCATTTTTTTTTCCCACTCAACTATTCTCATTATCCCATCTAGGAATGGCAACGGGTTGGGGTGGGGTTGGGGATGACACTCCCCGTCCCCGATCCCCGAAGGTTAAAAAATTCCCGTCCCCGGCTCCGATCCCCAACGGGGAAGCCTTCCCCGCCCCTGTCCCCTAACGGGGATCGGGTTTCCCCGACCCCGAAAAATCCCCAATAGACTTGTTCACAACACACACACAAATCTGTTCAACACACACACACAGATCTGTTCAACCAAAAAAAAAAAAAAATCTGTATATGGACAACAATCAACAATAGATCTAGAACACACACACACATATACAACAACAGATCTAGAACACACAATCAACAACAGATCTAAAAAAATTTAATCTGTATATATATGGACAATAGATCTAGAATACACATACAGATCTATATATAGAACAACAATCATCAAAAAATGTAATCTATTTATGAACAACAATCACAACTTAAAAAAAAAAAAAAAAACATTTGTTCATCAACAACAGATTTGTTCATTATACACACACACACACACACACACACATATATATGTATATATATATATAGAGAGAGTTGTTCAGATCGGTGGCTTGATGGTTCACGGACCACAATCTGTTAGATCAGTGGCTTGACGGTTCAGATCGATGGCTTCACAATGGTGGATCTGGATGATGATAATGACAACTAGAAGTGAGAGAATGAGAGAGAAATCAAAGTGAGTGAGTGGGTGAGTGAGGGAGAGGGAGAGGGAGAGGGAGGGAGATGAGAGACGCGGTGGTGAGTGTGAGTGTGAGACGAGGGTTTGGTTTATATATATATATATATATATAGGGGTAAAATGGTAATTTCACTTCGGGGACAAATGGGGACGGGAACGGGCCGGGTACGGGGCTGGGACACTTATACCCGTCCCTGCCCCAAAACTGATTATAGGGCTGAGCAAGGAATCCGTAAAATCCGTAAAATCCGTAATCCGATCCAGTCCAGTCCAATCCGATAGGTTTGGATTGATTTTTTAAATCCACGGTTCGGTTCTGGATTGAAGAATTAAAAATCCGTAGTACACGGATTGGTTCTGGATTGAACCCCACGGTTCCGGATTGGAGGTTGACAACGTGAATATTCACATTGACATATTAACATTCACATTGATAAGAGTGTAACATTAACCCGTGCCCCGTGGCTGCCCTGAAACCCGCCCACGGTCCGTGGGCGGCCTGAGGCGGGCCCGGCCCTGCCTGTTGACAATGTGAATATTCACATTGACATGTTAACATTCACATTAATAAGAGTGTAAAATTGACTCGCGTCCCATGGGCGGCCCGAAGCCCGTGGGCGGCCCGGGGCGAGCCCGGCCCGGCCCAGCCCGTTGATAATGTAAATATTCACATTGATATATTAACATTCACATTGATAGGAGTGTAAAATAGGAGTCCGGATCCTCTCCAGCCAACTCTCTCCAGCCATCCTCCTGTCAAGGGCCTGGATTTGGCCACGTCACTTTGGCCAAAACCTGCGGCTCAGATCAAATGCTTGGTAATAAAATTAAAAAAAAAAAAATTTCATTTCATTTTTCTCTGCAACAGAGCTTCTCTCCCTTCCACTTTTTCCCTCCATATTTGAAGCTCTGGTGAACGACGATCGGCGACGAATCCAAGTCCGCGGCGAACATCGACCTTCCCTCCCTCTCTCCCTTTGTCTTACTCCAAAGATTGAGCCACGATTTGAGCCGCCTGTCTCTCCCTCTCTCCGATTTCATCCCGCCGAGGTGTATCATCCATGAGGCATAGTGATCACGATTCACTTTCAGATTCTTGGTTGCAAAAGAAAGGAAATTAAAATCTGTGAGAATATTCTCTTCTCTACAGAAGAGGTAAAACATAAAACACTGAATAATGCCATTGTTGAATAAATTAAGGTCATTCATTGAATAAAAATAAAAAAATTCAGAAACAGAGTACTTCTGGTTCGGGCTTTGATGTTCGCCGTTGATTTCACGATATGGAGTCGTTGCTGGTGAAGAACTCAGGAGGGAGGGAAAAGACGCAAGGAAGATATGGAATTTTTTTTTTTTTTTAATTTTATTACCAAGCATTTGATCTGAGCCGCAGGTTTTGGCCAAAGTGACGTGGCCAAATCCAAGCCCTTGACAGGAGGATTGCTGGAGAGAGTTGGCTGGAGAGAATCCGGACTCGTAAAGAATAGCTACCAACAATGCTAAAGTGAAAGAAAAGAAAACCGTGTGGATTTTTGTGTGCTCTCTCTCTCTCTCTCTCTCTCTCTCATTCTTCTCTTGTTTTTCGAGGTCAATGACTTGCCAATCATGTTTCTCCCACTAAAATTCTATTCTATTAGTCCTTGTATAATTCTTACTTGCTTTCCTAACCATCTCCATCTCCATCTCCATCTCCATCTCTCCCCCTCTCTTTTTTTTTTCTCTCTCTCTCTCTCTCAAAAACGAAGCAAAGAGAGCATAGCAAATGGGACTTACCCAAGGAGACCCATCACCACAGTCCCAACCACCATCTAACCCATCACCACCACAGCCTCAAAAGTATCATTATGATCAACAAGCCACTGATGATATTCCTCCACCACCACCCTTTGAGGCTTACACCGATGAAAACCACCACCACCACCACGAACACGGCGGCTAATCAGACCCAAATGTAGCTAACAGCAACCAAAACCAACAACACTTCCAGCCTCCACCACCATCACCACCACCGTCTCAGCCTCAGCCACCACAAGCGGCGGCTCAGCCTGTTCGATTCCCACCTCAATTCCCACAAGCAAATAATGGGAGCCAACCTCCGACATATCCACCTCAAAACCCACAAATGGTTGCCCCGCGAACTCCGCCAAGAAACTACCCACCTCAAAGGGAGCCGGTGCAATTTCCACCACCACCACCGGCTTCTCAGGCGGCTTACCACCAGGCTTCTGCTTCTGAGCCCGTGCAATTTCCACCACCGCCGCCTCCTTCTCAGGCGACTTACCACCAGGCTTCTGAGCCTGTGCAATTCCCTCCACCACCTTCTCAGGTGAGGACGGAGCTAGTAAAAGGACCTGGAGGGGCACCTGTCCTTACTTAATTTTGATTATATCTATAATATTATTATTTGAAGGTCTAAATTAGTTTAGTAAAATTTTTTTCGTCTCATGTTACGTGATAACTTTATATATGCTTAGCAAGTTTTGAATTTAAAATTTTTAATTTCATTAATAATATATTTATCATTTAAATAATATACATATTATGATATTAAATTTTTTATTATTTATTTTTATTATTAATTACCTAAATTACACATGCATCGCGTGTGCCGCTCGCTAGTATATATATATAGAAAGGAAATTGTTTGGGTCTATAAGGGTTTATCATAGATTTCATTTCGATAATTTGAATTGTTCATGTTGTCGGGTGTTTTATGTATTTCATCTACAAAATTAATTAGGTCAATCACTACTACAAAATTTGACAAAAAAAAATCCACCACCTTCTCAGGTGAGGACGGAGCTAGTAAAAGGACCTGGAGGGGCACCTGTCCTTACTTAATTTTGATTATATCTATAATATTATTATTTGAAGGTCTAAATTGGTTTAGTGAATTTTTTTTTTTCTCAATGTTACGTGACAACTTTATATATGTTAAGTAAGTTTTGAATTCAAAATTTTAAATTTCATTAATAACATATTTATCATTTAAAAAATATACATATTATGATATTAAATTTTTTTATTATTAATTACCTAAATTACACATGCATCGTGTGTGCCGCTCGCTAGTATATATATATATAGAAAGGAAATTGTTTGGGTCTATAAGGGTTTATCACAGATTTCGCTTCGATAATTTGAACTGTTCATGTTGTCAGGTATTTTATGTATTTCATCTACAAAATTAATTAGGACAATCCGATAATTTCAACTTGTTCAATTTATTGTTTTTGTCATAAAACAATATATGATTCATTTTGTAAAAATATAATTATTGCCTTTTATTTAAATAAAAATACGATAAATTAAACAAATTATAATTATCGGATCAATTTAATTTTTTTTTATAAATAAAATACATAAAATGTTTAATAAAATAAATAATTCAAATTTTCGAAACAGGGCTGCGGTGGGGAGAATCCTTAAATTTTGGGAGGCTCTATTTACACACCATTTTCTCTCTCAAGGCAAGCCACTTCTAAAGACACACCAAAAATAATTTACAAAAATAAATATTTTTCTCATCACACACCACAAATTTATATATTTACCCTTACTCACACACCCATCCACAACAATATACACACAAAGTTTCATCTTTGCCCCCCACACAGCCACACACCCCATACCCACGATATTCATCTCCCCCTCCATTCTGTATTCACACCGGTGAACCCCATTGCTGAAAACACTCATCAAGATGTCGTTGGTGGTGTTACTCAACACAGTTCTAAAAAAAAAAAAATAATAATAATAATAATAATAACTGTTCGGCAGTACAAAGTTGAATTAAATGAAAAAGTTCGACGGTAGTAATCCGAACAAATTGCACTTGTTCGATTGTAGTCTGTTAGACATATGTAAGTTGTTCGATTGTAGTCTGTTGAACAGATGTAATTTGTTCGATTGTAGTCTGTTGAACAATGATATATCATTCACCTCTGGTTAACCAAACAACGATTTACCACTCACAAACGAAAACGAAGACGAAAAAAAAAAAAAAAACTTTTCATTGCTCCATTGTTCCGAATGAAAATTGTCAGATGCATCCTTCATTAAATCCAATCAAAACCTTCAATAATACTATATTTTTTATTATTTGTTGAAGGGTTTTTGATTTTGGTTTTAGGGTTTAGATTCTTGACAGAGAAGATACGTAAGGAACAAGTTTAAAATTGATGATTTATATTATATTGATTCTTGTTCTTTATGGTAAATACACAAATGGGGTGTATCATAACCTGTCTTTTATAGTCATTTCACTTAAGGTTAAAATTATAATAAAAAATAAATTAATTAATGATTTGTTTTAAGAAGGAAAGTGGTGTGTAAATAGAATGACCCTTAAATTTTTTTTTGTATTTTTCTCCCAACAAACTTAACCCACGAAAATTAAAATATTTATAAAGATAGACTCTTATTTAATCCACAAATGGATTCAAGCGAATATATTCTTTTATTGTGTATTTAATTGCAAATTTATTTTCTTCCATTTTATATTACTTTAGAGTTTATAAATTTTAATATTAAGATGATTTTTTTTATATTAATATGTATGATATTAGAATAGTTTTGACATATTAATAATTTTTTTTTTGTTGAATAAATTACAATTTTAACCCCTATAATTTGATCTTATTTTTTCAATTTAAATAATTTAGTTATTGCACTATAAGTTTAATCTCAATTTAGTCCTTCCGTTCAAATTAAATATTTAAATTAAGAATTTTGTGATAAGTGTCTATCTCCGAACATGAATATAAAAAAAATAATAATAAACAAAATAAAATAAAAAATAATTGACAACAAGTTATATGAAAGAACTAAATTGAAACTGTACTTAAAATGAGACCAAATTGTTGAATTGAAAAATAAATAAATAAATAAAATTTTAATCAAACTAAATTTTGCATCCCAAATTGACCCGACTCAATAATTTGTCTTAATATTTGGGTTTCCTAAATTAAAATTTTGACTCTACCACTATTATTAGGCCACCTACCACCACCCTCAACAGCAAGTGCAGTTTCAGCGATCGCCAGTGACATTTCAGCAGCAGCAAGCGCAGCAGCAACAGACGGGAGCACAAATGGCTTACAATGTCATGCCCCATTCGACGATGAATGGTGTCGCGTCTGGGTTTCCGGTGAATCAATATCCAATTCCACAGGTTGGGACTGAGGGTTGGAAGACTGGGCTGTTTGATTGCATGGATGATCCTTTAAATGGTGATAAATCTCTCTCTCTCTCTCTCTCTCATGCTTCAAGACCAAGATTTTAAAAAGCGAATGCAACCGTTACGGGTGTGGTGGTTACCGCCACTCATTACGGCAGCTATAGTAGTGTAATAGAAATTCACATGTATAATAGCCGTTCGGTATTACATAACGGCCGTAGTGGAATCATAATGGTCGTAACAATCTGTTACACACCCTTACAACCTTTTATAATATTCTGAATAATTTTCTTTTTTCAAAAAAAAAAAATTAAATAAAATAAAAAATTACAAAAAAAATAAAAATATTCAAGTGTTCCAAGCTCAAAGAAAAAATCTTATATGAATTTATTTTCTTTATAATTTTTTTTAATTTTTATTTCATTATATTAGCATGTAAAATAAAAAATATATAAACAGTAGTTGTATTTATTTTTATAATCATTTTATTTAATATTTAATTATAAATATTTTTTATTTTGTTACCGTAATGTGTTGTTTAAAAAATGTCTTTAAAAAACTCAAAAATAATTTTTGTATATGGCACAATTTTTATTTTAATAACTATTTAATTTAATACTTAATTGTAAGTAATTTTATTTAGTTACCTGTAAAGTGTTGTCTACAAAAATGCCTTAAAAATAATTTTTGTGTATGGCACAATTTTTATTTTTATAATCATTTCATTTAATAATTGTGAATATTTTGTATCCAATTAATTTAGGTGTTGGTCAAAAATATTTTGTAGACGTTTAAAATCAATTATTCTTGAAATCATTAACTATTGAAATAAAATATAAAAAACTCATTTTATAGTGATTTGAAAATATGAAATATATTGGATCATATTTAAAAATTAATAAAAATTGATCAAAATCTATTTTAAATCCTAATAAATGTTATTCTAGAATATATATATAAAAAAAATCGTGGCTCCGGTTACCGCAACCGTTACACTACTACCTTTATACCTTGCAACTGCAACCGCGCCATCGCAACCGTTACAACGATTGCAACCGCTTTTCGAAACATTGTTCAAGACCGATATAGTCGTTCTAGAAACGAATAATTCTTCACATACTAACAATCTTTACTAAAATTACAAAGGATCAAATGTGATTGGTTGTCGAAAATATATATATATATATATATATATATATATTTGAATCTCCAATGATATTTGGACATAAATGCTTTTACTTTGTGTTTGATTGGGGATTTAAGAAGATTTGAGAAGGGAAAGGAAAAAGTTAGGTGAAATATAAATAAAATATACCTATATTTCATTTAATTTCATACATTTTTTTTTTCTCTTTCCAAATCGCTTCCCAAATTTATCAACAAAACACAGCATTAGTAGGATTGTTAGTAAGATTTTAAATAGATGTAATATTGCTTGTCTAGATACTCATCATACATCAATTTTTTGCGATAATTAAGGCAAAACAAAATAAAAACGAAATGAAAATATGACAAATATGATTTTAAAAATAGGCCAGTTATTCGATCGTATGATATATACAATTATTCGATAAATATTATTTTGTGTATGAATGATCTATTTGAAACATGAATAAATGATTTGAATTATCGATGTGAGATCCGCAGTGAGCTCACAGGGCCAACATCATCATTCAATTGGAGTCACCAACTAAAGAGATCGGAATTTAGACTTTTGATATGGGTAAATTAACTTATCTAATATCAATTCATATATAGGAGTGTTTGAGAAATGACAAATTACAAACACCCCCCTCGAGGTTTGGTAAAAATACAAATTCCTCCCTGAGATTTGAGAAATTACATCCCGCCCCCTATGGTTTATATTTCCATAATAAATTGTCCCCTGCTGTTTTTATTTTCATACAGATCCCCCTTAATTTCTCCTAATTTGTTATGAAAATTTGACCTTCAGGGGGTAATTTGTAATTTCTCAAACCTCAGGGGGGAATTTGTATTTTCACCAAACCTCGAGAGAGGTGTTTGTAATTTGCCCTTTGAGAAAATAGTTAAAAGTTGATTTTTAGTTTTTTTTTTTTTTTTTTTTGGAAAGATGGTTAAAATTTTTTTTTTGGCTTTTTTGTGAGAAAGGGAAGTGGGTTAAAAGTTATGAAGTAATTTTTAACTCACTTCCCAAAATAACCTATAATCATATGATATGGTTTTGATACTGTATCTCGACAATTATTTAAAATCGCTAACTAAACACAACGTATTTGTGGGAGTCGAATAATGGCAAAATCAGAAGGTGCGTACCTTAGAAGACTGATATTAATTGGCTGTATCCTACGAGAATGAGAAGCCAAATATAATATATGTGCCGAATAAGTGTAGATCCTTAGAGTCGAATAATAGAAAGGATAAAGATCAAAAAGTAGGCCCTGGCCCCGAGGATCAAAAGGAACAGGTATAAATACAGGAACAATGGATTGAGAAATGTATGTAACAATCACTTTTTGCTTAACTTAGAAGACAAGCTATTTTGAGTACAAGAACTGACTTGTCCGTCGGAGTGCTAATTCCGGCACCCCCGACTGGAGTGTTTGTGTTTTTTCAGGTGACTAGCTGAGGATCACTAGCATCTCCCAGGATCTTAAGAGTATTTCCAAAACCACGTCTCCACAATTGATGTCGTCTGTGGGAATACTCAAATACATCCATGGCAGGCGTGACTGAAGATCCTCCGATAGCCACCGACGAGACCACACAGAGAGATGACCTCACTCCAGCAAATATGCTCGGAAAGGAAACCATCGCTACAAGACATGCCTTGAACTTCGATTCGCCAACGACTTCGACGCAAGAGACAATGCAAGCGATCATGGAACAAGCAAAGCAGAATGAACAAAGGCTAGAGAACATGATCGCTGAAAATGAACGTCTCGGTCAAGACTTGGCCCTAGAAGTGGCAAAATCCAGAGAAGCCATGCGCCAAGATCCCGAACATCCTCTGAAGACAGGTGGACAACGAAATCGAGCCTGACCAAGGGATACCGATAGCAACTCCAACTCACTGTCCACGGAGCTCAACGAGAGGAGACGATCCGAAATTTCCAGCTCCTCCGAAAAGAGTCTTCGTACAAGGAACAAGCGCAGAAAAAGCAGTTCAGACGAAGATAACCAGCATGATCCCTTTGTCCGACGGATTGCAAGGGCAGCCCTGCCCAAGAAGTTCAAAGCTCCGTCATTCACTCTCTACAATGGAAAATCAAACCCCACTGATCATATCCGTCACTATAAGCAGGCCATGACATTGCATGCAGACAACAAGGCCCTCATATGCCGAATATTCCCCAGCAGCCTGGGGCCATTAGCTGTCAGATGGTATTACAAGCTGGAGCCGGCTTCGATCAAAAGCTTCTATCAATTACAGAAATCCTTCAGGGCCAGGTTCATCACCAACGAGGTACAGTCGAAACAGGCCGACTCTCTCTGGGCTATGCAGATCCAGTGAGGAAAAACGCTCAGAGCGTATTCGGCGTGCTATTGGGAGTGCTTCAACCTCGTCGACGACGCTTGTAACGACTCCATGGCCATCACCGCCTTCAAAATGGGACTACATCCTGACAGTCTCCTTCGCAGTTCCCAGACCAGAAGACTCCCCAAAGCAGTCTGGGCATTGATGAAGAAAGTTGAAGAGTATTGCAAGGTGGAAGACGATGCCTTGAGAATAAAAGCCGGCCAAATGTCCAACAAAATAGCCCCCCTTGAAATTGCTCAACCAATAAGTTCTGCACCACCTCCTAGCCCAGAGCCTCAGCAACGCGCTAAACAAGACAAAATGAGGGATACTCGTCGATCAAGCGATCAATGCTCCCACCGAACGAATGAACAACTGCAAGTCGACAGCAGGCGTTCGAGATGTGCCGACAAGAAGTACACAGAGTTATCAGAACCGATCGCCGCAATAATGACCAAAGTCCAACACCTTCCATTCTTCAAATGGCCGTCAAAGATGGTGGGGCCGCCCGACATGCGAAGAAGGGATAGGCGGTGCGAATATCACAAAGATCACGGCCACGAAACCGAGAGCTGTTACGCATTAAAGGATCACCTAGAAGAACTGGTACAAGACGGCCGACTGCAACAGTACGTGAGAAAGGGAAAGCCAATCAAGGCATTAGCCTTGAGGCAGGACTCACCTCCACTTGGCGTGATCCATATAATCTACAACCGCCTGCAGCGCCCCCAATCGTGTCATGCTAATCCTAAAACTCGCATCCAAATCCCCCAGAAAGCAACATATTCCGAACCGGGGAATGGGCCCCCAGAAAGACACCGATAATCACTTTCAATTGGACTCCGATCTTGAGCGGCGGCAATCAGGCCTCCCACGTCAGATCCGTTTGGTCATGCAGTATTACGTGTAAATTCGGTTCACCATTGAACGCCATTCTCAATAGACCGCAGGGAGTATTCAGAGGTTATGCATCAACAAGACTTTCATGCAACTTGGCTTCGACAAGTCAGATTCCTGTCTCTGACTCCTCACTCATTGTTCGGGCTTTAACAGCGAACCCTGACGTTGCCCGTTAGAAAGAGCACCCACACTTACCTGTCCTCGAGCAGGCTCCAAAATAGTCGAGGATGGAATTCCTGGTCGTAAAGCTCCCTTCGCCGTAATACGTCATCATGGGGCGACCTGGTTTACACATTATGAAAGGCGCCGTTCCAAGCACTTATATCATCAGGCTTGTACGCTTTCGAACAGAGCACGCACGGCATTGAAGAAACTCCTATGGCTCCCCCGCAATCGACCACAAGCAGAGATTTTATGAAAACCTTATTCACTGACCGACTGTGGGCTTGATATTGTATACATTTCATTTCTGCCAATTGCAGAACCATTTTCTTCGTCGATCAAAGTTCATTTCCCAACATCCCATTGTAGCGCTCGTCAAATCAGCCCGGTTTTAAAGCCCCCTTGTTGGTTGCATTGAGCAACCTTAGAGGCCGATAAGCTCGGATTCGGAGCCCTCCCTTTTTGTGACATGACACCTTGGCCGCCAACTAGTCTCCGGATTCCAGGAACCCCCGTTCGTGGATATCAACGATTTGGCCAAAAC